ACAGGAGTCTGCTAGTTCCTGCGCGCTTCCCCCACCTTGCGCCGCGCGCGCTTCCCCCACCTTGCGCCGCACGCGCTCCAGCAGCTGCTCCCGGCCGCGCACGAAGCTCGGGTGCTGGAACTCGACGTGGTCGCGTTCCGGCCTGAGCAGGCCTCCCTGCTCTATGCTCACCACCTTCCGAAAACCGTCTGCGGAGTGGAGCGTGGGGAGTGAGTAGCCCCATCTCCTCGCACCATCACCCACACTCGCTCCCCGGCGGCCCCAGGGACTCACACATGTTGAGTTGGCGCACAAAGCTCGCCATGTTGCTGTGCTTGAAATACTGGGGCAGCACTTCCTTGGCGAAGCGGCTCTGGTCGCTGACGAGGAAACTGGTCCCGCTCTACCGAGAACGCCGCCCGCCCACCGTGCGGGCAGAGAGCAGATACCTTGAGCGGCGTCTGCCCAGGGCCAGGCCCGGCGCTCTGGCGCACGCACGCACAGCACTCATTCTGGGGTCCCAGCCTGCCGCTCAGGGGGAAGTGGGGCGACACCGGGCCAGAACCAGCCCTGAGGCTGACTCCCCACCCCAGCCCAACCCAGACTCCGATTCGGTTCTCAGAAAGGAGGAGCAGAGGCCGACCCGGGTTCCAGCTCCGGACGGGTCCCAGATCCGCGAGTGACCTGAGCCTGAGCCAGATCCAGAGCCAGCCCTTCCCTTCTCCTGGCCTCCGCTTCTCGATCTGTAGGATGGGGTGGGGGTGGGAACTGAATGACCTCGAAGATCACTCGGGCTGTGGGTCTCCAGGAGGCTCCTAACCCTTCCTTGGCCCCAGAGGAATCACCTCATCCCCCTCTCACACACCCCCTCCACGGTGAACTACCCTGGACGGCTGACTCGAGGGACCCACAGCCTAGTCCCAGGAGGGGGCTGGGTAGGGCGTGGGTATTCACTGACATGGACCCCTGGGATCACTGGGGGAAGCGAGGGGCCCCCAGCCCTCACCGGGCTCCAGCGGATCAGGTGGTCGGTGCCTGGGTCGCCCACCAGCGCCCATAGCTTGCCGAGGAAGGCAGGCACGGGGTTGGGGCCTGGCTCCGTGGGGAGCGCGGCTGGCGCTTCCTGCATGGCGCAGTCTTAGCCCGGCTCAGCGCTCCGGCTGGGCCGCTGCGGGCTGGTCAAAGCCGCGGAAAGTGCTGCGTTTGCCGCCCGCCCCGCCCTACTCCCGAGCGCCGGGTCAGGCGGGGGCCACGTGCGAACCTGAGGGGCGGGGCTCGGACAGCGGCCCAGGCTCCAGCAGGCAGAATGCTGGCTGGGTCAGATGTGTGTGGCGTGGAGCGCGGAGGGAGACCTGGACTCGAATGTCATCCTTCTCAGACTCTATTCCCTCCTTTGTTCTTGGGAAGAAATCTGCCGTGCGCGGCCTGGTTTGGGTTGGGAAAATCCTAGAAGGCGATGTGCCGTGGGTGGGCAGATAGGATGGGGGAGGAGGGTTTGATCTGGGCCCCCCTCCCACTGAACCCTGGGGCGTGTCACTCCAAGGGTGCGGAGTGGCCCTCGCGTGACCCACACAACCTCTTCAGTACAGAGGGCTTTGAGGACTCAAGCCCTCCCACAACTGCCCAGACTGCTCCGCTGGCTGCTAGGGTTCCCACCAGCCTTCAGAGGCGACCGCGCCTTTCACAGGATGCAGCGCCACTGCACGATGTGTTTATTTCACAATCACCCCCAGGACTGGCCCTCGCCTTCGCCCTCCCTCCTCCCTCTACGCTGGAGCACAGGCTTAGAGTCAGCAGAGGAGTGCGTTGGTGGGAGGGTGAACCCAGTATGGCTGAGAGTACGGGTCTGCAAAGGTTGAAAGCGTCAAGTGGACTCGGGGCGCCCCGGACTGGTCCCGACGCCAACCCACAGGACCCAATCCCCCAGAGGCAGAGGAGGTGAAAGAATCCCAAAGACACAGACTAACAATTGGCGCGCGCCGGGACAACCGCATTCAGCGTCTCAGAAGCCTCAAGTCAGCTGGGAATGTGTGTGCGTCCAATCACGCCACGAGTGTGGGCTTCCAGGGATGCGGCTCGCGAGTTAGCTTAAGCGTGTAGCTGCGCAGGCGCGCGCAGTGCGCGCGGAAGGCATCCAGCACGAAGGGTTTCACCACGCAGAAGCAATGCACCTCGCGCAGGCCCGCGCAGCGCACCGCCAGCTCCCGCAGGGCGAGGTCTATCCCGGCTGAGGGGGCGGCGTGCACCTCGAGCACACGCAGGGTTGCGGCGTAGTGGCGCGCAGCGAAGAGCACCGGACCTACGATGTCGCCTGAGAGGTTAAGGCGCAACACAGCTACTGGCACTGCTGGCTGCAGGATGCGTGACACGCTCTGGGCCGGCAGCGCGGGCTCCAGCTCCAGCTCCACCTCTAGCCCAGGGTGGCGGCGGCGTACAGTGGCCCAGGCTTCGTCGGGCAGAGGAGACGCGCGTACATCTTCAGGGCACGCGCACCGCAGGGCCAGGAACGAGAAGGGTGAGCGGTCTGGCGCAGCCAGCACCTCGAGGGCTGCGAGCGACAGGCTGGCCAGGTGCAGGCCGAGAGCGCGCAGGCGCGGACAGGCCTTCAGTAGCTCGAGCACCGAGCTCGGCCCCACGCCGCCCACCAGCGTGTTGTTGTCCAGGAAAAGGCTGCGGAGCTCGGGGCAGCCGCGTGCTGCCTGCAGCACCAGCGCGTCGTCTAGTGTGAAGGGCAAGCGCCGCAGGTCGAGGTGGCGCAGCTCGCGGGCGGCCCCGCAGACGGTGTGCACAGCGTCCAGGACATCGCGGCCCGCTTCGAAGAGCCGCTTCTCTCC